TAACTGATGAGTCTAATGACTGCTCACTGTTTTCCTCTTAAGCTATGGGTACTAGTTCCCCCTTGGCCTTTCCCCTCCTCTCTTACTCGGTCCTCCCTCCTTCCCTCCTGCTGCCTTCTGAGTCCTGGTGGAGCGCTGGGTAGCTTTCTTTCCCCTTTTCCATGCTAGACTGCACCTACTCTGAGCTAAAGGATAACTGGTAAGCTAACTGGTTATGACTACACTTATTGGTTTAATGGTTAATTCTTTAATCTTTCGCCTCCCTAGTTATCTGAAAAGCACAATGAAGAAATATCTAAAAGTAATAATTGGCATATTTTGTTTCAAGTGAATGTACTTGTTATGAGCTATAGTTGCATATGGGTAGGAAGAAGGATGTAATAGAAATCATTTAATGTTACTATGGAATTATTAAGATCTTTGAAGGTAAAAAAGCACTGTGCTGTATTTAAGTAATCTATTTTCTATATTTACCCAAATCCAAGATGACTCTGAATTTAAGATAACTTTCCAATAATTAGGTTTTATATGTGGAAAATTATTTTCCACGTATAGAACCTAATTACTGGGGGGTTGTCTTAAATTTGTCCTCCCCAAACCAGCAGTGGGGACCAAGGGGCCTGTTCCCTCTGTACCCTGCCTTTGTTTTCACTGTATCTGCTACCTGCCCTAAATGCCTGCCCTTCCCATTCCCCTCCCCCGCATATGAGTTGTTATACTCATAAAAATGAATAAGTTAACCAAGTTCCTGAAACTGATTCAATTGCACTGGATACAAATAATTAGTTTCATCCTGAAAGATATTACTAAGGGGCCAGAACTCTTTCACACTCTTCCTAGCAAAACTAATGCAGAAGGCATGGCAGGGTGGCACCTTAGAGCAGTGGTTTTCAACCTTTTTTCATTTGCGGACACTTACAAAATTTCAGATGGATGTGCGGACTCCTTTGCATTGTAAGTGTGGGTATTCACATACTTTTGATTGATCATAGTCCTCTTTCACGAACCCCTTACACATAGTCTGTAGACCCTCAGGTTTGCACATACAGCAGGTTGAAAACCACTACTTTAGGGATTAACTTGTTCAAAAAGGCATAAGATTTCTTAAGAGACATCTTATAAATCAAGAATCAAGATTTTGTTTTGATAATTAAACTTGAATCAGTTTCATAAGTACTTGACTTTATTTGTAAATGAAAAATACCTGCTTTCCAGGTATGTGTGAAATGTTATACTACTGTAATAAATTCAAGCATAAAATATTTGATTCATATTTGCAGCTCTTAATGTTCACAATGAAAGAGCATGGAGCAGTACACCATGAGCTATTTAAAAGCCGATATTCTGTCTACATTTTGTAATTTTTTATTTTATTTTAAAGTTTAGTAGTGAATTGTAACATAAAGCATTTCTAGTGTTTTAACAGAAACATTTTTAGATGGAAAAAAATTAATTGAAATTTTAATTGTGAAGAAATTAATGATAGGTAAAATAATATTGGTTTATAATTGATTTATAGTATGGGGCATGTACTTTGTCTTCACTGACAAGAAAAAGATCAATTTTAAGTTACTTATCTTTCTGTATGTGGTGTCTTTTAAAGAGTGGTATATTAGGTCTTAATTTAATTTTCTTATTTAAGTTTTTGAGATTCATGTTCAATGGTTTTACAGCCATAACTATGATTTCATATATTATCATGTGTAAATAGCATGACTTTAAAACAAGTATCTTTTGGTAAGAGCTCTGTCTTTGCTCAGATTGGAAATCAGATTTTGAGTTCAATTTTGGAACTTGAGGGGAGTTACCTATTGTAGGTAAGGGATTAGGAGCTGTGTTGGATATTAACATCACACAGAAGTAAATATTGCTTCTAACTACTGACTTGCTTCATTTTTAGTAATTTAACGTTGATAGCTTATGCACTAGAGCAACCTTAACTAATTAACTTTTTTTTCTTTTCCTTTCCCTTCCCTGCCCATATTCATAGCCCATAACATTTACCTTGAAGTTATAAAAAAAACCAAGTATAGTATTTTAAGGCTCATGTTCCCGAAGGCATTACCATTTATTTTTGTGGGAGGTAGGCACATGTATATCTTTTAAAGATCTGGGCCTAAGTGTTTCTCACAACTTCTAAATTTATAAAAAGAAGCTGTAAAGTTCATTACAGATGCACTTTTATATGAACTACTCAGTAAAAGATTATTTTAGGGCCTGAATAATATTCTCATCATTAGTATAGTTCACCCTTAGATTTGTTAGTGAATTATCCTTGTCACTGTCAAACCTGTTTCAGTAAAGAAACATGGAATGGACAGATGAGCATTTCAGCTGCTTTAAAGAAGAGGTGCTACTCGGGAACACACCACAGCTGTTACGCTGTAACTGTAAAGTATACATGATTCTGTAGCGTTATGAGCTAAATTCTCCAATTTTGACCCTGGATGAAGCAGGTTTAAGTTGGAACAGTTCCTCTATTCTTGTGTTGCTACAGAATCATGTAGAGATAAATTACAGCATAACAGCTTGTACTGGTATACTTTAACTAGTGAATTGCCCATCAAGAATTACAGCGGAGATGGAGGTGGTGGCGAGGCTAGCTCCACTCCGTCACCACCCTGCACTGCCACTGCCTCATGCAGCTTAAAGCATGTGAATACCATACTACTTCTGCTTGCACAGGGATCCTATCTCATTCATAGTACAAGATAACCTTGTTCGCTCAATGGGAAGCTATCAGATCTACTGGCAGAAACACTCTAGAGTAGTGGTTGTCAGCCAGGGGTATGCGTACCCCTAGGGATACTTAGAAAGGTCATAGGGGGTACGCAGAATGAATTAGTGGCCAGGAGTGCAGCCTGGCATTGTGGAGTAACTGGGTCGGCTGGTAAGTCTGTTGTGAGGGAAGGGGCAGGGGGAAAGGAGGGGTGGAGGGGAACCGTGGTGAGGGAGGGAGTGGGGTTGGGCAGGGGCAGGCACTGCACAGTGGGACCAGGGTGTGGGGACAGAGCCTTGGCTCATCCAGGGGGGATGGTGGCTCCCACCTCAGTACGGACCCTGGGAGAACATGGGGGTATGTGCCCCCAGATCTGTGTGTGGGGCAGGGCAGGCTGCTGCTGTGAGCTGGGTCTGGGGCTGCACTTGGTTCTTCCCGGCGGGGGGGGGGCTGGGCTGGGTTGCAGTTGGGATGGGCAGCGGTGGTGCTGGGAATGGGGGTCCTGGGAGGGCTGCAGCTCCCCCCCCCCCCTTACCCTGGAAAATAGGGCTAGGATTCGGAGAGACCTATACAAATTGGAGGATTGGACCAAAATAAATCTGATGAACTTCAGTAAAGATAAGTGCAAAGTCCTGCACGTAGGAGGGCAGTGAAAATGGTTAGGGGGTGGGGGCACATGTCTTCTGGGGAGAGGCTGAGAGAACTGGGCTTATTTAGTTTGGAGAAGAGAAGACTGAAAAGGGATTTAATAGCAGCCTTTAACTACCTGTAGGGCGGGGGTTCCAAAGAAGGTGGAGCTGGACTGTTCTTAGTGGTGGCAGATGACAGGACAAGGCACAATGGTCTCAAGTTGCAGCAAGGGAAGTTTAGGTTAGATATTAGGAAGAATTTTCTGACTAGGAGGGTGGTGAAGCACTGGGCCAGGTTACCCAGAGGGGTTGTGGACTCCATTCTTGGAGGTTTTTAGGGCTTGGCTTGACAAAGCCCAGGCTGGAATGATCTAGTTGGTGCTGGTTCTGCTTTGAGCAGGGGGTAGGACTAGATCAGGGGTCAGCAACCCCTGGCATGTGTTCCGAGCATGGCACACAAGGGCATTTTGCTTGGCAAGCCACCTCCAGCCTGGGCTTTAAGCAGCTGCTGCCAGCCATGGAGCCCAGGCTGCTCCCAGCAGGTGGCTGGGAGGCTGCAAGCTCTGCTGCAAACATACTGGGTGGGCTCTGTGGGCCGGCTGCAGCTGGGGGGCTGCAAACAGCTGCTCCAGGCTCCGGCATGTCAGCACTCCAGCACCTTCCAAGGTAGTCATTGTAGTTTTTTTGGCACTCCAGCCAAAAAACGTTGCCTACCCCTGGACTTAGATGATCTCCTTCCAAGCCTAATTTCCTATGATTCTATGATGCATGTCCCTGCTACAGTGCCCCTGTCTGCAGCCTTTCCTGCTGCTCTTTCATGCTTCTCTGTCTCTTACTGCAGAGGGGCCAGGGATCAGTGGAAAGGGTAAAGCTCAGGCCATTGGGGTGTTCCAGGGGCAGTATGGATGGGTGGAGATTTGGGGCTTCACAGGGGACTGGATTGAATTCTCCAGCAAAAGGTTGCTGACCCCTAGTGTAAAGGATTAGATTTGAAAAACTGCTAGTCCTGCACTCTGATTATTGCATGATTTGTATTGCTAAAATTCTGGGCTACTCCATTATATCACTAGGTGTGCCTGTTTATTCTGTGGTTTTCTTTCTTTTTAGTTGAAAAACAGCAGTTGTAGTTTGCTTAAGTTTGTTTTTTTTTTACTTAATTGCCTTAAAAAGATAAAGAAGAGACTTATTTCTCTCAACTGAAAGATAACTCCTTAAATGCATTTGTTTGCTCGTAAATGTGTACAGCACTGTGTTGATATTTTAATAATTGGACCTGTCACGTTAAATAAGCAAGGAAAATGTACTTCAGTCATAACCATATTGTATTGTTTAAAAGGTCTGCTGTTTCATAGTTACATGCAAAATGTTAGAGGTAACAGTTGTGCCTGAACTAGATGTTTAAGGAGACTGCACCTTCTCTTTCTTACAGCTAATCTGTTTGAGATAAACCCATCAAGTTGTGGGAAGCTTTATGTTTGGCTAGTTTTTAGTTGTTGACAGAGCAGTTGCTAGGCAAACACTACAAACCACTGGTGGTTACAGAAAATATGTTCTGGTTTGTCTTGTACATGATTTCATGATTAATAAATAAGGAAAGCCCTGAGTTCTTATATTTGGTTATCAGACCTGACAAGTGTTTTTCTTCTTTACAGATATTTTCCAATTTATCGTTGAATGAGCGCTGTCTTTCAACATCGTTAGTCTGTAAATACTGGCGTGACCTCTGTTTAGACTTCCAGTTCTGGAAGCAACTGGACCTCAGTAGTCGTCAGCAGGTATGGTGGAGCACTGCGTGGATTATGAAATGCAATTATGAAAATAGATTGTATGTGACTGATTTAAAATTTGTTCTTAAGACTTTTTCTTGCTTTTGTCTCATGTTAGATGGTGCCTTTGTTACTTCTACTTTTCCACTTTTGTTTTTGGTAGTTTTCATTTTTTCTAGTGGGCTTCTGGTAAAAACTGAAATCCTTTGTTGGAGTAGTGTGAGAATGTGGTTTAGTTAAAATACTGTGCATTGCTTTTCTCAGCTACTCAGGGTATAGTTTTTGTGATTAAGAGTAACTTTCAAATATTTGGCCTTGGTTGAGATGCCTGCTTTATTTAGCTTATGATTGGAATTGGTGAAGGGTTGCCAGTAGTTTGTAATTTTGGTTATGGTTGTCCAGCTGGTGCTTGGTTCAGTTTTGTCTGGGGCAGAGATGTAGCTTTTATGACTGCTCGCCAGTAGGAGGATTCTTTTTTTTTGTGCATCTCCTTGGTGACACAAGCCTGGAATGAAATTGGTTTAGGAGGGCTCTGAAGTCTATTTGGTTACTTAATTGAGTATTTTGTATGTAACAGAATTTTTATTGGGCCTGCCCTTGGGTCATCCATAATTATTCCTTTGAGTAATTCTTTTAATGTCTTCTCTAAACTTTTGTGTCATGGTTTTTATATTATACTCTACCAGACCATGAAGTTAGAAGTGATTTCAGGTTCCAGCTTGGAGCACTGTTTATATTCTGAAGTTCACCTTCCATATATGAAAGTAATACCATATTAACCTGAATCCAAGATTACCCCGAATTTAAGATGACCCCCTCACTAATAATTAGATTCTATACACGGAAAATTTATAAAATTGTTTTAATTTTCTATGTATAGAATCTAATTATTGGAGAGTTGTCTTAAGTCTTCCCCCTACCACTGGTGCAGTGGGGAAGGTGGAAGGGGTGGATAGGTGATGGGTGAGATGGGGAGGGCAGGTGAAGGGGATTCAAGCAGCTTGAGCCCTGGCCCTTGCCCCCGTTTTCCCTTCAGCCTCTGGGCCTGGGACCTAGCTGGAGTTGCTGCTGTTGTTGGGCTGGGCCACGACTGGAACAAGCATGTGCTCCGTGTCTGGAGCTGGAGCAGGGTGAAGCCTGCTGGAGCAAGGGGAAGGGGCTGAGGAGATAAATGGGGAGCCTGAGCCTGTGGTGGTGGTGGGGTGGCAGGCAGTAGGGCAGAGGCAGTGGGGATGCAGGCAGGAGCTGCAGCTCTCTCCCTAAGCCCAGGATGGAGCTGGAACTAGAGCCGCAGCAGCTACCTGCACCTTGTATTCAAATCCAAGACGAGGGGATTTTTCCCCATCTTAAATGGGGTGGGGACCTTGTCTTGGATTTGAATAAATATGGTTGTTTTGTCATGTGCAGTGCATTTCCCTCCCCGCCCCTTGTTTGTGATCAAGTAGTAGATTTAGTTATTTTATGGGGGAAGTATTATTTTAATGGCTTGATCCAAGAGGTTTGTAATTGAGTTTACTTATTATGAGTCCCTGCCATTAAAATATTCAGCCAGTTATTTAATGGGATATACTAAATCAGTCTAATCCACAGAAGCATCCTTTGTCATCGTGTTTTTTTTCCTTGGAAGTTGCTATTGTTTTACAGCTAACCATTGACTGATGAAGTAACAAGGGAGAAGCTAGATTGCCATTACTGGAAAAAACAGATTGTGTCCAGCATAGAAAATTGTTATTTCTGAAAGGGACAGAGGCAAAGATTTCTTTATTTTGTCTGCCTATAGGAAGAATAATTCTAATCTGCTTTAAGTGACAGAAGAGTATTGTAAAGTCAGCTTGGCTGGTTTTGCTTCTGTTTTCCAAAAGTAAACTCTCTCTTGCTTGCTACGTGGAATCTTCTGTTTGTTTTCATGATATAGTTAGTTTTACACTGTCATTATTCATTAACTTGATAAAATGTTTTTTTTTCTTTCATTGGCTTAAACAGCAGGGATTAAGTTGTGTTCATCATCTTGGACAGGATTTACATTTTGCTAGTATCTTGATGATATGTGTCATGGTGCCAAAGAGAAAGGCAGCATATTGTACTAGCTAGTTGATAAAAATGTGCATGGAGTAACTGACACATTAAAAAAAATCAAATTGTCCATTCTACCTTTGCTTCTTTCATTTCCCTGTCAGTGTCTTGGATCACTGGTTATCACTGAATTTTTTAAACTGCCTCAGATTTTGACAATTCAGTTGTTGCTGACATTGTTGCAGTTACTGACATTGGTCTGACTATTGTTGGCAACCAGTATGGAATGTAATCCATACCTTTTTGTCTGAAGGGTGATAAGTGGCTAAAGAGAACAAAACCCTTACAATTCGTTATTGTGACAATAGAAAAAAACTACACACAAATGAGAATTTATTTGCCCTTTTCTTTGAAATAAGGGTTTCCTTAACTTCTCAGGGATTAGGACAGGTTTCTTAGCAAGGTAAGCATAACATTGATTTCAGTGATCTGTGCCTGGAATCTATGTAAACTAAATGTGCCCTCTCCATCCCATCCCACCCCATCCCCACACTTCACAGTTGATAGAAATACTTCTTCCAACCCAGTCATAGTTTTTGTGGTTTCAAATAAGTTCCTCTACTGTTTTTTTCAAGATATTTTTAATCAAAGTTAAAATTGACTATGAGGATATTAAACTGAGAATTTGGATTTGTTGACAGGTCAACGACGAGTTATTGGAAAAAATTGCATCAAGAAGCCAGAACATAACTGAAATAAATATTTCTGATTGTCGCAACGTATCAGATACAGGAGTGTGTGCGCTAGCTTTTAAATGTCCTGGACTCCTAAGATATACTGCTTACAGGTGTAAACAGCTTTCTGACACATCTATCATTGCAGTTGCCTCTCAGTGTCCTCTGCTACAGAAAGTACATGTAGGCAATCAAGACAGACTTACTGATGAAGGACTCAAACAGGTAACATTACATTTTAATCCAAATAAATTTGTTGATGCCGAACTTAATGGTTTTTACAATGTTATGCTTCCTTCTAGAATTGGGCTAGTCCTTTTAGCTAAATGAAGCTTACTCTGAAAGAAGTTAACAAAAGGGTCAGGAAGCTTGGTGTTTCTCTTGATACATAGTATGAAATAAATACTCTTTTATCTAAATTCTACTAAAATGGAGCAAAAGATATTGAACTCTATGCATCAGACCAGAAGCAGTAGTTATTCATTGGTCACTGAGTTTCTCTTAAGGTTATCCTTTTGCAAATTAATGCCATCTTTTGAGCAGTTCTTTATAGGAAATAAAGCAATTTGGCTGTAAAAAAGCTAAACTGGTATTTTAACCTTTGTATTTGGTCAGGGGTCAGGAGTTGTGGTTATAGAGTCAGAAATGAATTCTTTGCTCTGCTCAGCTTTCCTTCATCCTAAATAATCCTGGGGCTCCTAATTTCTTTTTGTAGGTTACAGAGATACTTTTCTGATAACTGGGCATTAAAAAAAATCTCCATCCAGTTACTTTTTAATGGATCCTTTTTATTGCTTTCACTTCTATCCTTTTCATAATTTCTGCCTCTGAAGTAACAGGATTGTTAAAGGGTTAAACTCAAGGTTTGTTGAAATATGCTGGAGAGATCCAAGGAAGAGGGTTATGCTCCCTGCTACAGAGGAAGGTAAAAACGCTCACAATGCTTACTAGTCTTATCATGGGGTAAAATCCCTTCCTTGCTCCAGTTGTGGCAGTTGGTGTGACCCTGAGCAGAGGAGCAAGACCATCTAGCCAGGAACCTCCTCTGGGTCTTATTTTCAACATGAGCACTGTCACACCCCTGTCAAAATCACCAGCTTTTCCTGCAGCTAGCACCCAAGGTTAACCCCCCACCTCCCAACACACATACAGTAAACAGGAAGGGAAAATAACTCCTTTCCAGCCTCATGTGGCAACCAGCCAAGCCCAGAAGCTTGAGTAATACCTGTAGTATACCACAGGCAGTTATTTCTAGATCCTCCCTGACCAATACTTATCCCGACCCTCCTTGAATACCTCCAGCATTGGAGAATGTCACAACTTCCCTAGGCAGTCTATTCCAGTGTCTTGCTATTCCAACAGTGAAGTTTTTTTCCCCTGCCATTGGGCTCCTATAGATGTGTAGGGAGCCTGCTCTGATGTGCTGGAAATCCAGTGAGTCGGAGCAGACTTGATTAATCGAATCTGCTGGAGCATGGAAATTGACGTGCTCTGGTGGCTTTTCCTGTCGTGTGTATCAGCGTCTCTGTGCTGAAAAAATGGCAGTAGGACGCTTTAAAAAAATGGCAGCAGGGTGCTTTGAAACGCATTCAGTGAGCTTTAGTTCAAAGTGCCCTGCCACCTCTTTTTCAGTGCAGGGATGCTGATACAAGGTGATGTGTGGGTGCTTTTAATTGGTGTGGCTTACTAATTAAAGTGCTTGGCACTGCATCTCAGAACACATGTAAAAATGCCCATTGAGTCCAAACCTGCTTTGCTTTTTTCTCTCTGCAACAGGAGAGAAAAGGTCCTCTCTCATTATGGTATCCCTTCAGATTTTTGAAGATCAAGACCCCTCCTAAGAACCTTTTCTGCAAGCTGAACTTGCTTAAAACTGCACATAGGAATCTAGATGAGGCATAACCAGTTCAATCTTCTTGGGTTTAGGAGTGAACATAATTTAGTACCTACGAGCTGTAAATTAAAATAAAATCTCTGAGGGAAATCTTCCTTTTTAAAAACAGTCCTTTTGTGTTGCTTTTGATGGCTCTTGGTGTCTCCACAGCAATAGCTGTGCTGGCAGGGTACAGTGTTCACTTGTGGTCATTAATGGGGCTGAAGCTACTGGCTGCAAGAATGGTGTGTATACACATTTTGTGATAGATTCTTTGCAAAGGCAGAAACCTTCTGTTATTTGCTGTACAATAGGCTTCTTGTGGGTCAGTTGCTTATGTGGATTTGCTTACTGTTCTAGCTCAGAACCTGAGTTCTGTCAGCAAAACTGGATGGTGCAGACCAGGCCATAATTTTTCTTCCACTAAATGGAAGTTCTAATCTGAAGTGACTTACAAGAACAAAAAGTTTTAATGAAAGCAGAGTTCATCATTAGGCATATTCTCCGAATTGTTACATTATTTCAACCCCGTTTTAAGTTTTTGGAAATATTAATCAACTTGAGAAAAAATAAGATCAGAAATAAATGTAGTATTCTCAACATGATTTTGTTTTAAATAAGGGAAATTATGCTAATTGCGGAACAAATCACAAGGTAGGTTTGAGATAATATTTAAAATTGTTGATGAAGTTATGAGTCTTGGGCATTCTTGTATGAGGATTTTTCCCTACAGCTATACAGGCTAGAAACTGTTCTTTTAAATGACATTTTGGGTTTCAAGTATTGATAAACATCGCAAGACTTGTAATTAATTTGCCAGAGTTGGGAATGTTAACTAACATGTACGTTGGATGAACATAGTCAAAGACTAACTGCATAGAAATTGGGAAAGACAGAGAGTCAGCTGCCTGTTAGCTGTATTTTTTGTGCTTTAAAATTTTCTATTTAAACTAAGTAACAGATTTATTTAAATTTTTTGCAAAAGTAATATTTATCCATGCCTCAGATGCTACCAGTTGGGAGAAGATGTACTTTCTTATTTATACCAAATAAAGAAGTTGATTCTGGCTTCATCAAAAACTTGAGACAGCTCATAAGACAGAGACATTTTTGTGTCCGTGTAAAACATGCGTTGTTCCTTGCAATAATTTGTAAGGCTGCACAAGTTCTGTCTCTGGAACTTCAAAAATGAATGAACAGGAGTTTCATTCAGTCTTCTACATGTTCTTACACAACAAATAAAGCAATAGTAGCATTTTGGGAACTGAAAATGTACATTTGTCTTGCATGCTGGAAATGCAAGTGCAGAATGTGAGACCATTAATTTTTTTAAACTGTGGGGCTTCTTTTTAGTAATGAAGAAGAGTGCAATGCAAAAAAAAATTGTTTCATAAGTATTTTACAGTATCTTTGTCTCATCTGTTTACCTTTGAAAATCAATTTAAGCTCATATCTTTATTGTATTGATAAAGTATGGTCAGCAGGAACTGTTGGTTCTCAGTTTTCTTCTAAGGAGACTGCGCTATAGTAAATTGAACCAAATTTGAAGGAACCTGTCCCAATCAATTCCAAAGGGGACTTAAGAAAAAAGCATGGTTTTACCCATCTGCTTGTTCTTTTTGAGGTTGTTTGGCTTTTAGACAGTTGTTCTTATTTGCCACTGACTGCAAATCTGGCAGCCAAGCTGTTCTTCCTAACTACTGCCTGTGAATCTTACATTTTTCTCCTCAGGTTACTTGAGCATCGAGCTGTTAAAATTAGTTATCAATTGAGGAAATTATCTCCTTAAAGTGACTCAATTTGACATATCACAGTATACCTTTGGCTGATATGTCTGAGTTTTTCAAGGCTTGATTGCCACTGGAATGGAATTCTGAGTTGATCTAATTTGCAGATGAAAACAGAAATTGTTTGTGTGGTGGTGTTTTTTACTGTCTTGCCTATTGCTTGCATTAATAAGTGTGCTTCCCAAAGCTTAAAGCAATTAAAATGAACAATGACGGACATTTAAGCTAATGCTTACAAGAAAATTCATAAAAAAAATCATGTTAAATCAGGTATGTTGGAGCTTGGTCGGTCATGTTGGCTGGTCAGAGGTTTCTTCTGTCAGCAGACTTAGTTTTTCTGCTCGGTGTGCTGTAAGTTTTTTTTTATTGGCTGTTCATGGTTAAGACTCACTTTCACCTTTCTTGCAACATTTTTTTTACTTGTTTGTTAACTGTATTAGTGTAGCTCTCAGGCAAGGTTGTTCCTAGGAAGAAAACAAAACCCAAATATTTACAAATGAATTTCTATTCCTTTTTATTTTTTTTGTTGTTTTTATTTTTTCCTTTAAGCACTTGCATTATTTTATTTACTTGCAGCTGGGCTCAAAGTGCAGAGAACTGAAAGACATTCATTTTGGCCAGTGTTACAAGATCTCAGATGAGGGAATGATCATTATAGCGAAAGGATGTCTGAAGTTGCAAAGAATATACATGCAGGAGAACAAATTAGTAAGTACTTGTATACAATTTGAATGGAATGTAAGAGCATTTTAACAGCTCTTTGTTCTCAATGTTTCCCCAGTTACTTGGTACTTAAAGCATTTTTTGAATATTTCCCTCCCCTCCATCCGTGCCCCCCCCCCACCCCTCAGGGTGATCTGCCAAAAAAACTTCTTCTCTAGGTATGAGATTTCAAGTTTTGTACAGAAAGCAACACAGATCATGATTGTCAGACTCAATAACAAAATGCCTGTTCATACTTATCCAGATAAGTCTTCTTGGATCATAACCTATCTAATACTAGGCAAGGTAAGTTTTTACTATTTCCCCTCTTCTTAAATTTTGTTATGTTAGAAGTATCTTATAGAACATGTTCAGATATGATATATCCAATAAGAGCAGGATATAGTCTTGAGAAGGTATGTGTAATGCAGACTGTATGTCTTATAAACACTTTTGAATTATTTGCGATTTTTCATTTAAGATGGAAATAAGCTAGATAAAAGACGGAAGCCAAAAAACTCCTGTATGTTTCCTGAGTGTTTTGGACACAGTAGAAACTAATGAATTATATAATGTAGCTTAGAAAAAGACTTGGATAAATTTCTTCTGTATAACAAAATAGAAATTTTAGTTCATTAATGGTACTGAGAATGCCTAAAGCTTGAGAGCAAAAATAAACACTACAAAATCTACGTGGAAAAAGTGGTTCCTACATACTTTTGAAGGGTTATTTTTGTGCCATATGTGAAGATCTTGATTTGCACAAGTAATTACTGCACATGCATGTTATAAGCGTGTCTACTCAATTGCTTAACTGTTAAGTACATGATCATGGTAAAATATATGCAGGATGAAGCTTCATGACCATCTTTCTACATGCCTTAATAATTAAATTTTTCCTTTTTTACTTCCTCATTTCCTCTGTCTGTGGTATCTCAGTTATTTGCAGATAATAGTACAGGCTTTTCAAACATGAATACCAACTCTCTTGTTAAGAAAATAAAAACACCTCACCGGTACACTTCCTATAAATGGAAAGCTGCTTTGTTTTTAATGAGGATTTGTCATCTTCCTGGGCTATGTAGTCTCACCAGATAATAAATAAGTTAAGAGAGCTGAATTCTTGGGGGGAAGAATTCTGGGAAAATGGAACACTATTTTTTTATTTTAATAACTTGGCATATTTTAAATCAAGGACTTACTAGAAGTCATTCCCTTCCCATAAAAACTTTTGCTTTTATGAATTAGCATTTTCCATTAAAACATTGTGTTGAGAAAAAAATTGACAGGTCTAATTACCACAAATGTGAAACTTAATTTTTCACAAAGCTTACTTCTCATATAGCATCTTGGGATAAGGACAGAGATGAGAAATGATACCTTTTGTAAATATAGAGAATTAGGTGATACAGAATATTAATGAACATGCTACAGTATTCAGTGATGATTTCTATTTGTAACAATGCCACCAAATGTGGCTTGTAATAAAAGAATGGGCTGTGTCTTTCTGGTCAGGAAAATTGCTTGCTAGTGTTCAAGCATGTTATCACAGTTATAATTAAGTAATAATTTATAGCTCTGAAATGAGAAATACAAGAATCTGAATCAATAGATGTACTGGAGTTGACTGAGGAAAAAAGTGCTAGTAGGTGGTAAATGGATACTGACAAAGTCATAGCAGTGCTGCTCTTGTACCCAGGGCAGCAGTGGCTGCTGCTATGCCAATTGTAGTATCATGATCAACCACTGCTGTTGTAATGGCTATTTTTGCACCCCTCACAAAGGCAGTGCTCAGGGCTACTGTCCTGGTTACTCTGCTGGTCCCCTGCCAGTTAAGTTGCTAGGTACTGATTTACAATTTTCTTTATCTAAAAAAGTCATAATATTCAGAATTTTTTTACATAATACATTTAATGTTGTTTAAAGTTTATTTCTCCTCTAAAGTTTTATGTCAACAGCGTCAGATTTTTTTCTGGCTGAAGACATGCGAAAATCGACTAGTGCCATTTTTTATATCAAATATTTCCTAGCCAAAAAAACTTGGCCAAACAAAAATGTGGAATATTTACTTACATACTTGTTTTTGTAGTATACAATTACTTTATAGATTTTATGCTACAGAAAAATAACCTGGAGAGGAGGGATTTTTAATTTTTGTATGAGGGTTTGAAAATATGTATATTTCATAACCTGTTTCTTCTAATATGAAACAATAGGACAGGATAGAGTTTTTTTCTGGGGATTTCAGTGGGGATTTCAAATGGGCTTAAGACCACATCCATATATTAAACATGTTTAATATTAATTCTGTGAAGCTAACCAACACCTAAATGATTTCTTTAGAGAGGGTTGCTTTGTAATAAAGCGTCGACTATCAATTTATATTTCAGTTGACTTATATGTTGCTAAGTATTTCTGTTAAGGAGGCTGCTGAGCAACAGCAGAATAATTTCTTGTTTTTTGGTTTTTTAGGTTGAACATTGCATGAAAAATGTATTAGATGTGACAAAAGAAATAGATAGCTTTCTTGTCCTGAGAAGCAGACTATTCAGTGGTACAAATTATGTAGTGTAGTGAGAGTTACAAACCATAAATTGATAGAGGGGTTGGGAAGAAGGGGTTTATACTTGTAACACATGATTTTTTACATATGTGCTTTATTTCCATCCCTTTAAAATACCATGTTTACCTGATTTTTTTTTAATTCTTTAAACAAGAGAAATTGCACAAAAACAGGATTTTTGTTGTTCTCTATGTGTGATCGGTTATTCCAAGTGAGAACTTAGTAAAATAACAAGCAACCTGAACTTTGCAAGCATGTGTAATTGTATAATTCCTTTTATCATGACACTCAAGCCAGTTTGATCTTATAATAGGATAAATTGTAGTTGTTACCCTCTTTACAATTGTTTAACAATAAATGAAAAAGGTTTTCTTTTTGAGAATTGTCCAAACCACGTAAACATTTTGAATATAGTTTGGCTTTGCTGCTGCTGTTGGTTTGGCTGGAAACTAGCTTCTCTTAAGGCAAAATTTAAATTGATTTATAATACTTTTTCACGGCAATTCTATCTATCTAAGAAATGGATTGGTTATTCTAACATTAACTTCAACTCTCCCTGTACAGGAGAGAGAGAGTAGACAAAAGGAGTGGGGGCATAGCTCTGTCAAGGAGAGCTATGCGTCCCTGAAAGCCGACATTGGCGATCAGGGTGGATGGCTGGAGACCCTCTGGGTTAAAATCCGTGAGGAACACTGCACAGGGGACACAATGGTGGGAGTCCACTACAGACCTCCCACCCAAAGTCAAGAGCTTGACCAGGAGTTCGCCAGGGAATTGGCTGAGGCTGCATGCTCCAGGTCCATGGCTGTCATGGGAGACTTCAGCTACCCAGACATCTCATGGGAAGAGTGCTTGGCTAAATCAGAGTGGTCGCAAAGCTTCCTCTCCTGCGTGGATGACCTCTATCTGACACAAAGGGTCTACGGGCCAACGAGAGGTAAAGTGCTGCTCGACCTGGTACTGGCAACCGGGGATGACTTAATCAGTGATCAAAGGAAAGTTGGGTGACAGCGACCATGAGCTGATCACCTTCACCATCTGCCGTAAAGCTGGCAAGTCAGTCAGCAATACAGAAGTCCTTGACTTCAGGAAAGCTGACTTTGACAAGCTCAGGAGGCTTGTCAGTGAGGCTGTAAGGGACCATGACCCCAAGGGGAGGGGAGCTCAGAAAGAGTGGTTGCTCCTCAAGGGAGCAATCCTCAATGCACAAGCTAATGCTATTCCATCTCTGAGGAAAGGCAGCAAAAGGGCACAGCAGCCCCTTTGGCTCTCCAGGGAAGTAGTGGACCTCCTGCAGCTAAAAAGAAAGGCCTTAAAAGGTTGGAGGATGGGATCCACCTCCAAGGAGGAATATTCCGCACTGGTCTGGTCCTGCATAGAGTAAACCAGGAAAGCCAAGTTTGCGACGGAACTCCAACTAGCTGCAAGTATCAAGGACAATAAAAAGTTCTTTTTTAGATATGTGGGGAGCTGGAGGAAAAGCAAGGACAACATTGGAACCCTGTTAAACCAGATGGGACAACCGACAACCAGGAAAACCAACCTATTAAATGGGTACTTTGTGTCTGTCTTTCACCAGTCCCACGGGACACCCCTGCCCACTACGGGACTGGGAGGCCTGGGTGAGGGAGATTCCCTGCCTTCCATTAATGCTGACCTCGTAAAGGAACACCTTGAGAGGCTGGACACCAAGTCAGCTGGCCCTGACAACCTACACCCCAGCATACTCAAGGAGCTGGCGAGCATCATAGCCCAGCCCCTGGCATGGATCTTTGAGAATTCCTGGTGCTCTGGTCAAGTGCCTGAAGATTGGAAGAAGGCCAATGTGGTCCCTATCTTGAAGAAAGGGAGGAAAGTGGATCCGGCAAACTACAGGCTCGTCAGCCTGACTTCTATCCCAGGGAAGGTCTTAGAAAAGATAATTAAAGAGGCCATTCTCAACAGACTGGCCAGTGGCAACATCCTGAGGGATAGCCACCACGGGTTTGTTGTCAGTAGGTCTTACTTGACCAATCTTATCTCCTTTTACGATCAGGTGACCTATTACCTGGACAAGGGAGAGGAGATTGATGTCATATATCTTGACTTCAAAAAAGCCTTCGATCTGGTATCCCATGAACACCTCTTGGCGAAACTGGCCAGTTGTGGCCTCCGGTCCACCACGGTCCACTGGCTGGGAAATTGGCTCCGTGGCCGAACCCAGAGGGTGGTGGTTGACAGAAGTCGATCGTCATGGTGCCCTGTGACCTGTGGGTGTTCCCAAGGCTCTGTTCTTGGACCTGTATTGCTCAACATCTTCATTAATGATGTGGAGTCAGAAGCGAACTGGCTAAGTTCACTGATGATACCAAACTCTGGGGTAAAGCAACCACATCTGAGGACAGGAGGGCGATCCAGGCTGACCTTGACAGGCTCAAGAAATGGGCAGATGAGAACCTGATGG